ATTTATTATTTGTCAAATTTATTTTTTATTCTTTTCATAAGATCTTTTCTATTGTTGCTCCGATTAGTGTTGTTTACCAAAAGATATATATATTTTTTTGTACTTATGTATGTACAAATGTGCATATTTGTATGTATAATTTTAATTTTCACCGACTCTTTAATAAAGCATCAGTTTTTCGGGTAACATTACTTTTACTTCTGTTTAGATTTGTATGCATGTAAATGCATAGATGCGTATGTATGTGCATAGTTTATATTATTATATCAGCAACCTGTGTATTTTGTAAAAATGTAATCTAATTTAATTTCATCGGTCTGCTGTCTGCTTGAAGAAAAGACAAAAACATACTTATTTATAGTCTAAGCACAAATCACCTTTAAGAGACTAATAAATAAGTAAACACAAGTCAGTATATTATATTGTATATATGTATACTTATTTTCGTATGTATAAATAAATATACTCTTTTATATTTTACTATAAATCTTTGTGTCCACATACATACATACATATAGCCATGAAACATTGTATTTGTGTAGCGAATATTTTGTTAAGAATCAAGTCACTTATTCAGTCATTCGCTCAGTGATGTACCATAAAACTTCCAGCCAAACCGTAAAGCAAACGTAAAACTCACTTTTGTGTTAGTAGTGTCAAAAAGCAGTGTAATTCAGGTTCTTTGTACGCACATTTAACGCAAAAATTCTTATACAAATATCTTATACCTAACTTTATATGCTTACATATGTATCACATATTTAAATACCAAATTTCGGTTGCTAACAGGTAAGTGACTTAATTAGGTCACTATGAATACGATTATGATTTGAGGGAAAATGAAGTTAGAAGTTTGACAGGTTTCTTGTTATTATTCTTGCTTTATGTACCACAAAAGATATACATATATTTTTTTTTTATGCCTACAGGTTTAAGGCAACAAAAGCATGAGTTATTCCTCAAACAAATTTCGCGCTTGAGTTCACTTGCTATGAGGTGACACATTTCACTGTGACTTCATGGGAGAGAGAATGTGGAAAGAAAAAGACTAATATTTTTACTGTAAGCTACATATGTATATAATATGCAGAGAGTCACAGAACTACAGATATTATTACAAAAAACTTAATAAAAAGTGAAAGTAATTTTGATTTTATTTATATGCTTTATCAAAGTGATAGTATTCATTATTTAATTGGCAATTTTAAAAAAATTTGAGCACCTGTTGGGGTCTTTAATCAAACCGCTATTTGATCATTTATATACGAACCATATAAACGCGTTTTTGCATAAGAAAACTAATTCAAATCATAAAATGGCAACTTTTAAATACGCAATAAAAATGATATTTACATAAATATGTACATACATAATTAATACTTAAACACTTGTGATTTTAATCTATTAATTGTAGAAAATAGATCATTAAACAATAAACGCAGACGGTTCGCTTATAGTTTATCATAATCTCAACAAACAATGCGCAGGAGAAGAGAAAGTCCGAAAATAAATATGTACATTTCGCAAAATTAATTAATTAACTTTATTTGCAAAATAAAAATAAAATAATAAAAAATTGCGAACTCAAAAGATACAGCAAGAAAAATAAAACACGAAAATAATCGACAAGATCAAAGGTGGAAAGTAAGACACAAATTTTTGGGCGAAACGAAGGTTTGAAAGAAAATGAGGTGTATGCAACGTAAAGCAGAAAATTTTAAAAATATATATATTTTTATTTTCCTTAATTAGATTTTTAAGTTTTGTATATTTGTATGCATGATTCATTTATTTTAATTTTTTTTTTATTTTTGTCGTCTTTTACTTTATCGTTTTTATATTTTTTTGCGCTCATCTACATAATATTTTTCAATTAAACCACGATGTTATCTATATTAAAAAATATATATATACATATATTTTCAGCATTGTACCTCTTTAATTAACAAACAAGCTGAACCCACGACATTTTCGGTTATTTATTGCCCATTTGTTTATGAGAACTCATTAAAAACGAAAGACAGAATGCGCACCTCTTCTCAAAAAGTAAATAGCAAGTAGTAAATAATCCTCAGCGACACATACATATTTAGCCTTTTGCTTTTCTTACATCTTACAATAAACCGCTATTCTCAGATGACCAATCGCACTTATAGTAAACAAGAAAATTATACTGTTTTTGTTGTCATATTTTGACAATCATATCGTCTGTGAAGGTCGCATCTGGTGGCTTTGTGGTGTCGCGGACAACCCGGTTTGTTTGGTTTGCCAAAAAGAACTCAAATATTATTAATATGCAATACTATTTGTTTATTAACTATTTATCTACGGAAACCGGCCGCATTCTCACCGCTGTTATCTATCGCTCGCCTTTATCTTGGAGACTTAAATCATTCGAATTTAATTATCAAAATAAACAAAAGCAACAGTCAATCCTAAAGCCATGTTTATCTTGGGCATTAATACTGTCGTACTTTGTTCGGTTTTCTTGGTTTCAAATCAGGTTTTTGTTACTGTTTTTTTGTTTTATAGCCAACATTTTCGGCTTCCGGAAAAAAGTTCACATTAAATTTTAATTTTTGGTTCACCCTCACGCTTATGAATTTCGTGGTGATTGTTATCCATCAGACAGTTTTAAATTCAGATCAACAATTTCTGTATTATTTTAGAATAACCGGTTGATTGGTTAACTACGTAGCTTATTTTTAATTAAATTTGGATGTATGACGAAAATCGTAGTGGTTAATACATATGAGTAAAATAAATGTTGAACTTGTTACGAAAAATTTATAAAATTGTTGATTTCAAATTAATGAAAATGAAGTTTCGTAACACTATACTATTGGGCTTGTCTCTAATTTATTTTTTTACCAATTTCTTTATTAACTTGTTATTAATTTGTTTATACCTTTCACTTTTCATTTTTTAACATAATATTTTTTCTATTGCTTTTGTTTAATTGTTTTATTATTGTTTTATTTTCAATTTCTTTTATTTTTTTATTTATTTTTTTTTAATTTATTTTTTTTTTTATNATTTTTTTTATTCTTTCATTTATTTATTTTTTTATTCTTTCATTTATTTATTTTTTTTATTCTTTCATTTATTTATTTTTTTTATTCTTTCATTTATTTTTTTTTTTATTCTTTCATTTATTTTTTTTAATTTTTTCATTTTAATTATTTTTTTTAATTTTTTCATTTTAATTTTTTTTTTTTAATTTTTTCATTTTAATTATTTTTTTTTTCATTTATTTATTTCTTTCATTTTTTTCATTTATTTATTTCTTTATTTCTTTTAATTTTTTATTTCTTTTTTTATTTCTTTATTTTTTATTTTCCACTTCTTCGTCTTTTTATTATTATTTAACGTATTTTAATTTTATTTTTAATTTTTATATTGTTCTTTTTTATTTTTATTTATCTTTTGCTTATTTCCTATAATTCTTTATTTTTATAGGTCTTTTAATTCATTTTTATATTTGTTGTTATTAATTAATTAATTTTTATTTCATTTATTTAAATTTATTATTTATTTTCTTTATTGTTATTATATATTTTTTTTATTTTTACTTTCATTTTTATTTTTTTTTTTATTTCTTTACTTTTTAATTTTTTTCTATTTTTTCATTGTTTTTTTATTCTTTTTGTATTGTTATTTTTTCCCCCTTAAATACTTTTTTTGTTTATTTTATTTTTTCATCTTTACATATTTTATATCTTTATTTTTTTTTTTTAATTTTCTTTATTTGCAGATAATACTTTACAGCGGCGGACATACTTAATTTTTCGCTCTCCTTTTTGTCTCAAATAATTGAAGTAAGAGTACTTATATAAATAACTTTGTTTATCTTCGATTTGCAATGATATTTTCGCAAAGTTTAAAATTTTTTCGACAACCACGCGCCGAAGAACAACTATTCAAACTACCAATAATAAATGCAACAATTTTAATGTGTAAATGAGCAGAAGTCAAGTGGGCAAAAGTTTGGTTATTCAGCTCAACGTCGCACCATTTTCCCGCCGGTATTGGCACTTTACCCCATACCAGGCAACGCGACTGGGCATCGAATTATCATAAATGCATTGAACACCCAATGTACAAGAAACGGCAGTTTTGATCAAGCAAATATCCACTTCAACAGCTTCGCTTGGAATATATTTAGGAGTATGTAGCCCTATGTATACATACATATGTGCGTTTATAAGTGGGGCTGGAGACATAGGCTAGCAAGCACATGCCAAGAGACCCACGCAAATACAAAAACAAAACTAATTGAAACTGTAAAAATGCCTGCCTGCCCAGACAACCACGGCAAAGTGTACTATCCACCGTAATGTAATAAAATAGGTTGTAGGGAAGGAATTTTTATAAATACAGAATGAAAACAAAACTATATGACCAAAGTGGAATGAACCGCTTTGTTGGAGTTGCTTGAAGAGTCCAAAGAAGACACAAGATAAAGAAAGACACAAAATATTGGGTTGTGGTAAACGTACACTTTTCTTAAATACTTTTCAACTTGGCTTTCTACACTTTCATTCTTTTCATCACGTGGAGATCTTCTTTATTCTCTTTCACTTGTTCTTCTAAAATTTTGTTTAACTTCGCAAACGGATCGACGGATTACTGTGATGTTTTTGTACAATAAACACGTTCTCTTCTAAAGATCAACGACATTTTTTTGTAGTGTGTCTACTAACTTTATGTATAGTTATTTAACTGTCATAAAAAAAATGCAACAGTAATTAGTGTAATAATATTGAAATTCAACCATTTCATATTTTTTTCTTAAGCTAAAATAATATAATAATTCTAATATATGCTGTTATTATCAACTATGTAGGTGCATAGTATGTACAATACAAAAATTTTGCTACTCTCAAAATAATCGTCATCACATTCTGTATGTGCTTTTCATTACAATACTTAAAATGTACTCTAGCTATTTTATTGAAATATACCTATGTATGTACATTCATATATTTATTTTCACTTACCTTCATCGAGTAGGCGTTCCACATGATTGAAGACATTTGGAAACGCTGCCATTTGTTTACGATCCTTCAGTAATTGAGCCAAGTAGTCGGCTATACTTTGTGTACTTTGATGTTGTTGTTGGGGAGTAGCCTGCATTGTCACGATGTTAGTATCACACAGACTCATTTTTAAATTGGGTTTTTATTTTCTAAAAAAAAAAATCTACGGTCTAGTTTAAATCCTTAAGAATGGGGGATATTTTTGATTGGCTTGCTAAATAAAAATTCGCTTGCCAATTTCAATTTTTTTTTTTATTTTCCAATGAAGTATTGCACACTTTGGTTTTCTTATATTTTAAATATATTGTCTTTTTTCAATAATGCACAGGCGATCAAATTACAAATACACAGTTGTTTGTATGTATGCATTTATAGTTAACTTGTTTATAAGCGAATTAAGCACGTTTCTGCAATTAACTGTAATGAAAAAAGCACAAATATTTCCATACAAATTTTAAAAACGTCTTTACATATTTCGTTGAAACCAAATCAATTGCAGAGGAAATTGAAAATGTTCGATAGTCAATTACACCAAAGGAAATAGAACAAAGTTTCTCAAAATCAGTTTTCAGTTTCTGGTCAACCGAACTTATACTTATTTGTATTTGTTATTAAAAAAAAAATTTATTTAACTTTTTCTTTAGGTATTAGAAATTTTCAAATTAAATTTCCCGAATAATATAATTCTATGCAATTTAGAATAAAACTGCGAGATATTCTATTGAGAAAACCAAACAGCAGGCATATGTAGGTATTTATACATATTTATACATTTATACATATGTATAACAGAAATTTGTATATGAAAAAGTAATAAAAAGCATGAAGTAAATTTATTGGCATAACGAGAAATACGTGAACTACTCAAGTTGCAGCTAAAGCAAACAGATGTGCAAATTTTTATGCACATACAGTAGGAGCGATAGCAACAGCGAATGGTGCTGCCGCCAAGAAGGCGAATCAACGTCAGGCAGGCAAAGTGTCAAAAGGGGTGTAATGAATGACTGAATAAAACAAAAAGAGATATAAACAAATTCTTGAATTCCATTTGTAATTTTTCTTCACTTTTGAAAAATGTACATAACATTCGCAGCGTTTCGAATCCAGTTGATCGAATTCCTTGCCTTTTCGCTGCATAAAAAAAACGCCTTCTATTTTTGTTGCCTACTCCTGTTTTAAATGTGTATAACGGCGCTGCTACACTGCCACCAATAACGCAAGCAGCGCAGTGTCAGTTAGCGCGTTGTCTGTTTAATTCTTTACTTTTTGTTATTATTGTTTTTGGCTACTTTTTCGAATTCTCTTTTCTTCAATCGCTTCGTACGCTTCGTTGTTCAATCCATGCATTTATCTGTTCGTAGTGCGCGCATACATACACAAACATACATTTTATATTCATTTGCCTGTAAATGCTGGCAAAGCGTATAAACAAGATGAAAACGGAATGTCAAACAGATTTATTTCGCTTAATACACTGATCATGTATTTGTCGCTGCTTACTTTGCTATTTTTTTTTTGTCGTTTTTCCATTCGAGTGTAGTAAATAGGCTTCTAAAAATATTTTAGTTCTACTAAAAATACACTTAACGGAAATGGAAAAGCGCGCTTAGCGATAACTTACATATGTACATATGTATGTATATCTTCGCCTTAATAACCTACACCGTACTGAGTTTTCCACGCACAGTTCTCTTTTCATTTTTATCTCAAAATATATGTGGAATTTTCATAAATCGGGCTGCGCAGTCGCTGCTCAGTTGCCTTTGTAATGAATGGAGATGGTGGCGACTGCTGCGACTGCATTATTGTTTGTTCCAACAATTTGCTTCGATGCTTGCCCTTTTGAGAAAAGGCAAACAAGAACAGAAAATTAAAAAAGAAAATATAAAGACGTGGAATTTCATGGCACCTCTGCAATTGAGTTTGGTTTTCGAGACACTGTTTATACACGGTTATTTCATTTTTCTTTACACCACGAATTTTTGTACACATACTTTTGATAGTTAATTCAATGTTTCACGTTTTACTTAAGTCGCGATTATTTCAAGTTCAAAAAGGAAGTATTAAATATATATATATATATATATATATATCTTTTTTTTTTAATTGTGTGTATTTTACTTAGGTACACTCAATATTTCAAGATTTGCTACTGAACGCGAGTTAAAAATTTTAAATAACTAAACGCGATGACTCCAAGAACAAAACTGAAAAGATACGAAATGAAAATTTCGCTTTCAAGCGATCGCCTGTGTATTTTCTTCGGCAACAAGATTGTATTTTGTTTTCGTGTGAAATTACAATTCTCTTCGGACCGCCGTACATATGTTTATAGCTTTATCTCGCTCACACGTACTGTTAGCTCCTTGCCGGTGTATGGTTGTGTGAGCAAAGCCACACGTAGATGATATAGATCGAAACGACCAGTTTATAAAATATGCTTAGGAACAGTGGGAATGAGTCAAAGTCGGTATATGGGAACACTTGCCATGAGTGTGTGTACGTGTGGTGGGAAGTTTACTAAAAATAATACTGAGAGCATCTTTAATCTGCTCTCTATAGGCGGGTTAAAAGGGTATTTCGTTTGGTACACAGTAAAGCGTTCAATTAGTGTTAAACTAAGAATTTATTGTGAAACTGTGAAATGTCACTCAACAAAATTTAGACAACTTCTTTATTGGTAGCTCTATTAAGCTCATGTTAAAAACAATTTTTTTAATATCTCAAAATTATATAATATCTTAAATAATATAAATACAGATATATGAAAGCTCTTTACTAATCGACTACAGTACACACAATTGCTTTCCCCTTTTAATTCAATTGATATTAATTGATCCAGGTACCTACATTTAGGCATAAATGTACTTACATACATACGCCAAAATATATTTCCTTTATAGCGAAGAGTCATAGTTTGTAGCTGAAATTTTTTTTAAATTTGTTGATGATTTGAGAACTTTACATCTTTATTTTATTTCTTTAAACTTTTAATTTTGATCTTGTCAAAATAATGTTTGAATATTTTTGTCATAAGCTAAAATAAAGTTATTGACAAAGTATTGTGTTCCAAATAAGGAAATTCATTGAAAAGGATAGATTTAATATTTCATCTTTTTTTTGTAGTTTTTGTATTTAGATTATTTTACTTTTTTAGCAAACAAATAGTTAAGAATACTACATTGGAAACACAAAAATTTTGATATAGTTGTATGTATATTTGTAGGTACATATATCTAGCTATATATGTAAATAAGATGATCATTATGTGGCGATATTCTTGTAAGAAATATGACATTTTATATATCGCTCATTTAATTATTATATGTATATAATTTGGATACAACTATTTACATACATATGCATGTTTTAGTAAAATAATCCAAAATTTGCATGCTCTTTTGGTAATGATTTTATTGTGGGGGACGTCAAGAACATTAAATTTATTAGAAAACTATGTTTGTATGTATATAAATAAATCTGTACATATACATACTTTTATCTGTACATATACATACATACATATGTGTGTATGTAAACTATAGCAGTATATTTAGAAGAGTACCAATGTTGGCAGTAGAAACTTTTAGGCATAAAAAAAACTCTTAGAAAAGAGTCTGAAAGTCCAAAGCGGTTGAGATTTGTTGCTAATTATCTTCAGGATGTTCCTCTGATATAGACTCCTAGAAGAATTTCGAAATATTTTTTACTTTAGTATCGCCAACTCGATATTGTTGTTCATCTAGAATATTGGCTATTAAATTTCGAATTCAACATCTGCTATGCAATCGGATTATAGATAAGAAATAGCCTTCTGTTCTTCCTCAGTATGTCCTGAAAGTTACGCCAAAGCTTTCTGCATGTGGTCGTATGAATCTGTAGTTTATCAAGACTCAACTCTCACGATAGCCCGTTCTACCCTCCCAAGTTGACCCGAGTGCTTTCTCCGTTTCGGCAAAATAACACCGTTTAGATCAAGAGGTCACGTTAGTCTAAGTGCATCAATGGAGCAACATATTGCAGCTGGATTATTCCAAATCCTTGTCATCAAACGTGGCGTCGAACCCGACCCTGGTTTGGCGGATTACTTCTGCTACTTTTCCTATAAACGATTCCACCATTCCTTCATATCCCGCCCCCCCCCCGCCGTAGTCTACGGTCTCACAAAGTTTTTCGCAGCATGATTCCCATGCAGTGAGAACGCCTTTATCACCCCGGTGAATGCTTTTTATGCCGTATTTTTGGCTCCTCTGCCGCCCTCTTTATCCCGGCAGGCCGAATTGCGGAAATCCACTCTAATTTCCCGACTGAAGCGGTGGTTGTAGCATTCAATCGCGACTCCAGTCATCATGCCGATCCCGGAAATACTCTTATCAAAGATCTCAATAAGACGCTTCGGCATCAAGTTGAGCGGAATGAGTGGGGGGAATACTTAAGATCCTGCAACCTCTTCCCTGGGGCAACCAAGCTCTGGGAAACAGTCAAATCGTTGTCAAACCAGATGAGGTACTGCTAATGAGACACTTGCACGAACCCCCACCTATACACTTCAGAACTTGAAAACTGCACTCAGCGGAAACTAAAACAAATTAAAATTGTATATGAAGTTGACCTCTCCGAGTGTATTTCTTACAGAGGACATAAAACCTCCTCTTGAACTGCCGTCAGTCGATCACAAGCGGCTTAGAATAAACTTTTTTTTGAAGATCTAATATGGTTCCTAGAGAAGATCAATATCAGCAAGTGCTTTTGCCGAGGAAATTTACCCAAATCCTATGCATGATTTTCTGTGGATATTATCGATCACTGTCGTCGTTTATTACATTTAGTCGACAGTCTGTTTAGTTCAAATAAGTTAAGAAAATATATAAAAGGCTAAGAACAACTTAATTTACGCTTGTGAGTGGGATTAACCATACTCGATGTTCGTGAGAAGAGGTCGAAATCGTTTGCTCCCTGTTCGAATCGTTGCTAAGATATGATCAACTGATATCTAATCTAGTTCCTTAAACGAAACTCGAAACATTATAGATTCTTTAAGCCAATCTTACATATTTATATATATAATGGGTGCTTTGTAACCGCTGAAACCGTACTCCTCCGCCAATTTGTGATTTTGCGTCTTGATGGTTTTGTAACAAATTGAATTTATACTAAGTCGCCTCCGAACGGCCAATGGATTTTTATGAGGAGCTTTTGTTTTATGTCAGAAATAAACTCAATTAGAAAAATTAAATTTTTATAATTTTGGATGTTGGTCGAACCACCGACTTTCAGAATGTCAGTAAGCAATGAGAACCACTCAGCTATCGGGTAACTTTATTTTGGGCGCGTAAAAAGCATTATTATCGACAGTACCATAAGTTCACTTTGAAGTCTCGTGGCTTGACTAAATATGAATGTTTGGTTGTTTAAAAACCGTAAAGTAATTAAAAAACGTGGAATTTGTAATTTTGTTTTGATGAATTTCGTCCAATTATCACCAAATGAACGTTGTTAATATTTAATGTGGGAAAATGTGTATTTTAGCGAAAGAATTCAGCGATTAACGCGTTAAAATAATTCTTTAAAAAAAATATATATATTTACCAGCCATTTTAACCGGCATACCCATAGATACACCATTATGTGAGTATGTGTGAGAGTATTGCCTTGAATGTCCATTAATATTTTCAGTATTATGTTTTTACCTCGATAGGATCACATTACATTTTCGTTGTTGAATTATTTAACGCATTTTTTTTTTTTTTTTTGGTAAAGCAACAAGCAAATATAATAGTTTACTGTTGCATACAAACATATGTATACTCATATGCGCTCAATATGATATGAACGGTCTATGGCGCATGTGCAACGACGAAACGCACTTGTTACATTGTGGCTGTCTATCGCCCTGGCCAATGACAACCAACTGGCGTCAGCGGAATAATGGCGCTAACCATTTATGGGAGAATCATTATGTGTTAAGGATTCTCATAATTTTCATGTATATATATATATATGTATGTATGTATATTCCTGTATGTAACTTTAAGAGAGTTGATTGTATTAACTAAAAAAATTATATAGGCTTGTATGAATATATAATATATAATTGGCGCTTTGTATTCCAACAAATGAAGAGATTTACAATTTATGCTCAACCGCCTCCGAATGGCCGAACGGTTTTTATGACTTGGCTTGAGATTCCCAGCCGAGGGGCGGCCATAATTATTCAAATTAACTTAATTAAAATTAATTTCCTCCAACTTTTGAATGTTGGTCGTAGCAGGACTCGAACCCTGGCCTTCTAAATGACAGTAAAAGACGGTTAAATCTACCGCGTCCATCAAATCATGTAAATTGAAGTAGGTTTTACAAACTCTACTCATCAAAGCACAGTGATCGATTTTTTTAGACAAAAATATATGAAGAAGATTTGAAATCTATTTACCTATCAAAACTATTATTTTAACAGCCATATAAACAATAGTTAAATTGAGCCTACTCTATCTCATTCGTGCGCGAGACAAGCAGCAAAGATGACTAGATACGAAACTTACTCAAATCGCAGCTGAGAGCGTTCCCCCATCTCACATTCTAATGTTGGCAGCAGTGTCAGATCGGGGAACATTCAACATCTGATGTGCAAAAAGCACCAGTGCCACTATGCCAATAAAAAAATCCATTGTTTTTGTTTCAAAAGAAATTTGCATCAGCAGTAAATATTAAAGAAATTATTGTAATTTTATTACTAAAACTTAATATAATTAAATACTGAATTGTTTCTCAATGAAATTTTTCAGTGAAATTGCAATTAAAGACGTCGTTGTTTGTAATAAAATACCCAAAATATACCTAGGAATCCAAATAAGTTGTTTTTCCATCACAGTGGCACTGTTCAGAAATGTTATAAAAAATGCGGATTTTTGAGCGTTCTCACGGAATAAAGAGTTTCGTATCTAGTCATCATTGCAAGCAGCGAGAGTAGGGAAGCAAAACAAAAATTACGAATGTGCAGTGGACGAAGTTTTAAAGTACAAGGTGTGTCAATTAAGTAATGAGACTGGTGCTATAAAAACCGTATATGTCAAAAATCATTTTACAACTCTGCCATCCCCTTCAAAGTAATCCCCTTGGGCAGCTTTACCACGATTCCAGCACGTTTTCTATGCTTCGTAACATTTCTGGAACGCTTCGACTGGAATGTCCACGAGTACCCTCGTCACGGCCGCCTGGATATCCTCAATC